TCTGTGTTGGAAACTCAACACCAATAAAGCATATGGTGCCAGCCAAACAAAGCCTGCAGGAATAAACAGAGATTCCATCCAAACCGTTGAGGGATGTTCTCTATGACTGCAAATCAGGAACAGATTAGAAACTGTTTAACTTGGAGGTAACAATAGCATGGCTGTTACTTATGAAGCTAACTAAGGAATCTGCTTTATCTTAAAGTACAGGCCAACTTTCAGTTTTGTTAGTTTAAGAACTATGGGGAAATGTTCTGTAATGGTTGAAGCTCAACATGGAGTCAGTCTGTTTATGGCTCCTGTCAGCATATACATCTTTTTTTTTCAATTGGCTAATGGACCTAAACTGTTACCAGGAAGGTCTTGTGCTTAAAAAAAATTGGCAAGTTTTTATAACACAGTAGTACAGTTTTGACAGCTATCACTCAAGAGAAACGATATTTAATAAATTCTAAAGCTTTAATGAATTAATTACTAATCCATTTTAAACAGCCTTCAGACATCTTTTTTCTCTGAGTTGTAAGAACAAGAAGAAGAGATTGGATTTATACCCCACCCTTCACTTGGAGTCTCACAGTGGCTTACAAACTCCTTTCCCTTCCTCTCTCCACAACAGACACCCTGTGAGGTAGGTGGGGCTGTGAGAGCTCTTTCAAAAACTGCTCTTGAGAGAACAGATCTGAGAGAACTATGGCTTGCCCAATGTCATCCAGCAGCTGCAACTGAAGGAGTGGGGAATCAAACCCAGTTCTCCCAGATTAGAGTCTTCACAATTAACCACTACACCACTACACCATGTGTTTATCCACTACACCAAGTTGTAAGAAACTGTTACATTTGTGAAATAGCCAGATATCACCAGTACTGAGTCAAGCCTGCACAACTTATGATCCACTAAACTGAGTAAGCTAATAAGCCATATTTTGCTGTTTAACCTCCCCACCTCACACCAGATATGCACCAAAACTAGCCGTCCAGAGCTGTTTATATTCATTCATTCATTCATTCATTCATTCATTCATTTGATTATGGTTTTTTGATTGGTGGGTCACATACATTAAGAAGGCATGATTTAGTTGTACCATAATTATTTTAGAAGTGTGCAGTGTGTCAGATGATATTATCTCTATAGAAAACCCCAGATGGGAGAGATTGTTATAACTTGGTGCTCTAGTCATCAATACTTCTAATTCTGAATACTGCTGAAATGGAGATCAAGAAATCCTCATAATCAAGTCAATATGAAGGATTCTTCTACAGACCCAGAGGGATCCCCAGGTTTGCGGGAGGGGGGGGAAGAGATGAGGGAGTGACATTTTCTCAAAACAGAGAATGCCAACTGACATCTCAAGAAATTTCTCAAGATCACAGTCATCACTAAGGGGTTGCCTATTAACCAAGGCATTAGGTCCTCCACCTATAAAATCCCAGCAGAAGGGCTGCAGCAGCAGCAGCAGTTGGGAAAGGAACAGAAAGTGGTGAATGGGGCAATGTAGAGAAAAGGTTAGGAAGACAGACACAGAGTGAGGAAAATGGGGAGGGAGGCCTGGGAAAAAAGTGGAGAGTGCCTCCACTGACATAGTGAAGAGGGGGGGGGATGTAGTGGGTGAAGAAAAGCCTGCAAATGGGGGAGGGGAATAAAAGCCAAAAAATGAGAGAGGGGAATCAAGGAGGAAGCTGAGTGAAGAAAATTAGAGGGCGTGGGGAGGATACTGGGAAGAGATTGAAGCTGGGGACAATGTGATCAGAGAAGAATTTCCTCTCTTGTGAGTTTTATGGATCCCAAGCTTGTAACCTTTTATTTCATGTCCACCTGTTCTTTTACAGTTGGGTGAAAACTTGTATAGTTGGCAAGTAAAATGCTTGTAGAAAAATACAAGATCAGTGAGACAGAGAGAGGAGCCTGCAACAGAGCAGGCATTGAGACTGGGGCTACAGCAACCAACAGAAGTTGTAGGATGGGAAACAGAGTGTCAAGTTTCGACTGCTGGGTTTTGGGCAGTGGGAAGGTGAGAGATGGGGTGCCAGCCTCCAGGTGGGGCCTGGGGATCCCCTGGAATTACAGCTCATCTCCACACTACAGAGATCAGTTCTCCTGGAGAACATGGATGCTTTGGAGAGTGAACTCAGTGGCATTGTATCCCACTGAAGTCCCTGACCTCCCCAGGCTCGAGCTCCAGATCTCCAGCAGTTTCCCAATCTGGATCTTGTAACCCTATCCCCCCATCCCCCGCTGGTGGCCAGGGGGGACCTGGCAACCCTAGGAGCGAGGAGAACGAGTTGTATGGATAGCTTAACATGAGAGTGAGTTAAGGACAGCATAGGGATCAGGTTATTCATTTAGTCCCGTTATCTTGTCCTGGAACTGAACGAGGGTGTTACTGGATTATTGCTGGATGCCGTTAATTAGTTTTAACAGCTTTATCCAGAATATAAAAGACTGCCTTGACCCCCCCCCCTCCAAATTCAAGTAGATGTGTTTATGATTGGAGCAGGACAGTGTAGTCATGGTATGTTGTTCAGAACAGGCTGTCTGAGAGGAAGAAGTTATGGCTATTCCGCTGTCTTCTTGTGCCTTTTCATGTAGGAAACCTTTTAATGATATCCTGCATCTGTATCTATAAAATAATAAATATTATAAAGAGCACTTCCATTATAAAAAGATAAGCCCATACCTACTTCTATTTATGAAAGTTTGTGTTAGGCAGCTTTCTAGATGAAGAGATTGGATTTATACCCCACCCTTCACTACCCAAAGGTGTCTCAGATTGGCTTACAAACTCCTTTACCTTCCTTTTCCCACAACAGACACCCTGTGAGGTAGGTGGGGCTGAGAGAGCTCTTGACAGAAACTGCTCTTTTTCAAGAACAGCTCTTATCAGAGCTACGGCTTGCCCGAGGCCATCCAGCCAGGGGCAAGTGGAGGAGTGGGGAATCAAACCCGGGTCTCCCAGATTAGAGTCTGCACACTTAACCACTACACCATACTGGCTCACAAAACGTCTAGCTGGGTTACTTTGAATTTTCATTGGCCGAGTTCAGACTGGCAGTTTGAAGCAGGAGGGAGTCATGGCAAAAAAAGAGCCAGAACAAACTGTTCCGGGTTTTCCTGGTCACACTACGCCGACTGATGCGGGAGCTTACCGGGAGGAGGCACAAGGGAGCGTTCACACTGTTGGGCCGCCCCTGGTGGAGGCGCAGCTGTTTTTCACTCCGGCGACATGCCACATGGGTGCATGGGCATATGGGCGCATCAGTAATTGGGGCAGGATCCCATTGTGCCCACCCCGCATTGGGCGGTAGAGCAGTGTACATCCAGTCACATCATTGCTGCCTCTCCAGGGCAATCAACTGCACCTTATGCACATCCCTGCGGGAACAGCCGGTTCACATTATTAACGTGGGTTGTTCCCAGCTTTTCTCGGTTAGCGTTCACACTTCCGGGAAGCAGAATGTAGCAGGAAACGGGCTCTCCAGGGTTTGCTACCACTTTCACCAGGTATCTTTTAAACTCGGGAGCAAAGCATCACAAGACGGGTTGAGTACGGGTGGGGAATGGCGGACAGATGTGCCTGTGTGAACGGCCCCTTTAATCCGCTTGTGAAACATTCCTCACATGCGCCTGTATCGGGGCGAACTGCCAGTCTGAATTCGGCCATTCTGTATCATCCTGTGTATCATTCGAAAGAACAGTTCTTAAACCTTCTTAAACCTTTTTCCAGGTAACATATGAATGTGATGGTGGTAGAAAGTGCCGTCAAGTCACAGCCAACTTATGGTGACCGTATTAGGGTTTCAAGGCAAGAGACATTCAGAGGTGGTTTGCCATTGCCTACCTCTGTGTAGTGACTTTGGATTTCCTTGGTGGTCTCCCATCCAAATACTAACCAGGGTCAACCTGGGTGCCCCTACCTTCTGAGTTTAGGCAGGTGACAGCCCAACATAAGGCCTTCTCGGTCATGGCACCAAAGTTGTGGAACTCCCTCCCCTGGGATATCTGTCCCCTTCTATCACTGTCCTCTGCCAGCAGGTGAAGACTTCTTTTGTCTCATTTGGAGTTCCCTTAGTGACCTCTCCTTCCTTGACTACGTTTTAATTGCTGGTTTTATACAGGTTTTATTTGTGGTTTTAACTGATTTTATGATGGGTTTTATAATATACTGTTTTTAATTGGTAGTCATTTAGTGGCCCTATTTGTGCTAAAAGAGTACACAGAAATTAATTAATTAATTAATTAATTGACGCTTATTCCATACATCAAATGCAATTAATGTGCTGTCCAGAGGAAACATATCACCTTCTGTATGCAAAGTACAGTATTTTTAGAGCTGGGAAAATATTGTATGCCTTCAGCAAAACAACAACCTTGAAGGTAAAAAAGTATAAACTAGTGATTTCTATTGTGTTAAAAATTGATTTCTGTAAAGGTTAATTCAACTATATTTAGCAATCATCTTGTAATTTTTATCATTGACATAACAATATTAACATATTTAAATATATGTACATTTAACCATGTGGGAATTTTTCATTCTGATATATTTTTGTTGCTCTCCACATAACATTCCTCCAGTTTTGCACCTAGCCAAGAAGTGTAATTACTACTTGGAAGTTAAGATACACTGAAACTGCTGTGATGCATTTCCACATAATGGATTTAGAATAGAAGTTCAGTCTCTTTCTGTGGATGCAGTATCATGCTAGCTGGACTTTCCTCTCATTAAAAGTAATTATTTTATTAGATTACTTTTTTCACCCAAGACATATCAACTCAGTAGGATAACAAATTCAGGACATCGTTAGATTTCATGGGGCAATATTTCTTCAAATAAATGTTGTGAACCTGGCAGGATTTATTTTCATATATAGCCTATGACTAGGTGAGGGAAAGATCAGTTTCAACACTGAATACAATCTCTTTCCAATCACAAAGAGGTTTAGGGTTTTGTATTGTGTTAACTAAGAGTATACCTTTTCTTTTTTCTCCCTTCCCATAACAGGTGACGTCATGCATTTGCCACCGTATCTTAGAATGGACTTTTTGTTAAACCGAGGAGTTCCAGGCACTAGCAGAGACCTGGGTTTAGGACAAGCCTGTCTGGAACCTCAGAAAAGTCGAACCTTGAAGCGCCCAACAGTTTTGGAGCCAATACCTATGGAAACATCATCAACGAGAGAAGTACAGTCATGGCAACCTGGTGCCGTAGCAACTTTACCTCAGCGAGAAGGAGCTGAGCTAGGACAGGCAGCTAAAATGAGCAGCTCCCAAGAATCCCTGCTGGACTCCCGGGGCCACTTGAAAGGAAACAATCCATACGCAAAATCTTATACCCTGGTATAACGAAAAGAGCATGACTGGACAATGGCTGTAAATACTTAACAATTATTTAAAAAATCAATCAAAACTACCTTTTTTATTGAATTCCAATATTTATAATTAAAGAAGAAGATTGCCAAAATATTTGGGATGAAAAATGCAACCTACAGACAGTGCAAAGACTCTCCTGCTTTTTTTCTGTCTGAGTGTGAGCTTCATCTGACTGGACCTCTGAATTTTTTGAGAAAAGGAAGTCCAGTTTTTCTGATATTCACAAAGCTTTTGTGTTTTTACTGGTTTTCTACAAAGTGCATGGGAACTAAATAAAATATTTTAAACTGGGGATTCCATTACACACAAGGAAGGAGGAAAATAATAAAAACAAATCACCCTCTGTGAATTTAACAGGGATATTTATTCGAGAAGGCAAAAAGTCTTTTGTCATGTTTTGCACATTTTTTTTAAACTAGAAAATGGGTCCTTGATAATTTTTTTCCCTTTTATCGTTAATTAGGATGAGTGATGTCAGTCAGTGAAGTGGGGAAGGGAAGGGGATTCAGTTTGGTTTTGGCATTTCTTTTCTTTTTTTAATCTTAATTTAATGAGACACTCTTTGCATTTTGTCTATGCGAAATAAAAGGGTCTTCTGCCTTTATCTCTGTGTCTGTTTTACCTTGCCTGGTTGTTATTTCTGCCCTACTTATTCAGAATGGGATCCCTTTCAGTTTTGTAGAACTATAACCTCCACAGACTTGACTGGAAGAAGTTTTTTATTAACCACTGAAGAAGAAGAAAATCTTGAATGGGCTTCCAGTTAGGGAATGAAGCTGTTTAAATTAAAATGTAAAAGGGTAGAATTAAGAGAATCGATGAATATTCGTGTTATGCTGACTTCGAAACTGATGCTGCTGTTGTTAATTTTCCCTTCTTGATATTCTTTTTTTTTTATGCCCCCCAAAGGGGATTTTTTATTTGCATTTTCTATAAACTACAAAAACTATAACTAAAAGTTGGAAGGGGGAGGGAAACTAAAACCCTATCACTTTAGCTATGGGAAATGGAAAGAGGGCAAACTAATACATAAAAAACTACTTGATGGGGAAAGGAAGCTACTATTCTAAACTATTTCATCTATTGGATTTGGGGAAAGGAAAGCTAATACATGTCATGATCTAATTAGCTAAAAGTAAGACTTATTAACCTAATGTTACAAGTTTGGTATACAGGTTGGTTCATTACAGTATTACTTTAAGAATATGCATTTAATAGCTTAACAAAAATTCTGCCTTTAAGAACTGTTGTTCTTGTTCTAGAGTCTTTTCTTCCTGCGTTTCTTCATTTTCTTGAGTTTGGGGGCGGCTTCTCCTTTCTCCGATTCCAATGTTTATGGTGATGTGGAAGTAGTGCTTTTTGAATCCTGTGAGTAGGATTCTTCTTCTTCCTCCTGATCTGGTTTTGAGTTCTTTTCTTTCTTCTTATATTTTGAGTTAAACATTTGATCCATAAATTTTTTGGCTTTTGGAACAGAGTCAATTTTGTATTTTTTATCCAGATAATTGAAGCTCAGTCCTTCCGGGAATAACCATCTATATGGTACTCCCTTTTTTTGCAGAGTGAGAGTAAGCATCCTGTATAGTTTCCTCCGTTTTCTGACTTCAAAGGGAATGTCTTTTAGTATTTTTATCTCTTCATTCTTAATTTTTAAGGGTTTTCCCATTGTAGATTTTACCACCTTCTTGATATTCTTCAACTGTTTCCATTTCTCCTGAAGTGCCAGAGCCACTTGTTGCTAATATGTTGTGAGGTGGTGTTGATTTGTATTTTCCATTTTTACTCAGAGCTCAGTGGATTGCTGTGTTATAGGAGGCAGGAAGTCATCCTCCCTGGGGTTAGATTGGATAGGGACAGGGAGAAAAAAAAGAATTTTTATTTTTCTCTTCCAGCAGTTACATTGAAAGTTTACATGGAAGTTTTTAGATTTGTGCTCTTTTGGTCTCAAAATTTCTACTGTACTGCAAACTTTCTGCCGAACCACAAAAGAAGGAAGCCTACTTCAGCATTAGCTGAATTACCTTTACACTATCAGCTCTTTGCCTAAAGTGCTTGGATGTAAGTCTTAGCCACATTGGACAAATCCACAGAGATGAATGAAAATTTCCTGTGTTGGCATTTTCACGTGTCTTTTAATTTGTCTTTTGGCTTTTGAGCCTTTAGGGCTATGGACACCTTCCTCAGGTGGTGCCAGATGTACGGAGCAGCCTTCAGGCCAACTTATAATGTAGGGTTTCTCAAGTAGCAATGACCATGTATTTCAAGAGCTCATAAATCCTCTCAAATCGCAGTTCACTGATTGGCCTCCCTTCTTAATCATGGCTGTTTCCATACACCAAATCACTTTGTAGTTTCACAGATTTGATTCTTGCTTCACCATTACTTTGCTCCTGTGCATTTTCTTCCTGCAATCCCTAACTGGTCCAGGATCCTGTGCTTATCTGTGGTCTGGTAAAGAGTTCTGATCATCATCCTGTCCAACTCCTTTTCTATCATGTTAAAATTTTAATAGGAGCAGCTACCTTTTTGAAGAATTTATTTAACCTATTCCTTTCTCCGTGACACTAAAGCATCCAGTATTTGCCACAGTTCTTTTTTAAAAAAAAGTTTACACTATTCCACTATAAAACATTAGGCAGTAATTCCAGCTAGCTCAATGTAATGTATGGATTTTTCACACTACTGGAAGAATGTTGTTCTGAACGCACACAGGAGAGACTGCCTTGCATGGAGTCTCAGACTGAGGTCTTTCACAAAATCTACCTCTCAGTCCCTTTAACTGGAAGTACTAGGGATAGAACCTGGGACCTTCAGCATGCCAAACAGATGGTCTACCACTGAGCCATGGCCTCTCCCTACCTCTAATGCTGTTACCTTAAAATAAAATGGGCAGTTACTGAATTGGAGCGTGCAAAACTGTCTACATGTGCATTATTGTGAAGTTGCTGAGGAAATGAAAATGGATACAGAAGAATTTACCCAAAAATGGTTCCAGGCATGTGGGAGGAAGGATAATAAATATAAAACCCTTGCATCTGGAAACCTTCAAGTACAAAGAGCTTTATATTGCCTTTTCCATATATGGCAATAAAAGGTAGTGTCTGATGGGACATATTTAACAGAAACAAGAAGCTGTGGGTTTTTTCTTTACATTTTATTTTATTTGTTCCTTAAAAACAAAACAATGAAAGGAATTTAATAAAGCAAAACATTGCAGAATGCAATTTTAACTTCCCTTACATTTTCATCAGGCAATAATGCCAAAGCCTGAAGGTGGCTCCACATTGCAGAGGTGTAGTGAAATTATTCCAGATGATGTAATCATCAATCCACTATTCTCCCAGTCTATACATATTATAATCCTGTGGTGTGTTTTTTTCCACTGATGCTGCTTTGTTTTGAGTGTTTGTTGGGTTTAGGATTCTCTGTGTTGATGGTCTTTGGATAACTATTTCACCATGTTCTCAGGATGATGTGTATTTTGGTGTGCATTGGAAAGAACTTCTTAACTGGTTTTTCTACGGGCACTGTTTTTAGTTTTTGCAATTGGTGATGTTACTCCATTGTGAATTGGTTCCGTTCCTATTTCTACCATTAGGCATTATTCCCGGTGTTGTGATCTAATAACACGAACAAGCTCAAACTAAAAAAAAAATGGAAGTATACTTCTGCTGATGTCAACGCAATCACCCATCCAACCCCTGTAGGAAGCAGATTCATGATCAAAATGAAACAGATCCCTGTATGGATGGGAAAACCCACAAGCATGATATCCACCAAATACATGGATTTTCTGTTGTAGTTCTACATTTTACATGCAGCTAATACTGGAGCAACAGTAGTTTGATTCCAGAGTCTGTCCATATCTGAATTCCTTTTTTAAAAAGTCCATTTTTCCTGTCAGCTCCCTTCCCTCCCTCCCTTCCCTTTTCCATGTAACTATTTTTAGATGTTAGTCCTATTAACAATGTATTCTATATTTCCTATTTGAAGTTTCTATTGGCAAATCATTTGAGTTTCATTTATATGTTAACTACATCTTGGTAGTTTCAAGGAGATTTGTGATCTGCTCCAGGCCTTGTTTGGCAACAATGTCCTGTACAGAACTCAACTGAATAATGAAAGTAAAATCCTAACCAGAAATATGTTTAACTACACTCCTTTCCAAGACTTTATAGCTGTATTGCAGTTAGGCCTGTAGCTATAGTGGGGGATTTTGGGGCCCTGCCCCCTTAATTAAAAGTCCTGCCCCACAAGTAGTCATGCCATAAACCTTATTTTTGAGAGAAACCTCCCACTGCCTGCAGCTGGGGGTGGCCAGGCTGAAAGCACTGCAGCTTGCCCTCAGGTTTCCCTGTCCCTCCCACTGTGGAATTTGGTGGTTAGGGCATCACAGGACCTGGGGAAAAACAGCTTAGAAGGCATTTAAATGCCTTTTGCGTTCCCTTCCACAGGGCAAAAAGCTTAGAAGGGCACGTATCTTCAATACATCTCCAACTAGCCCAGTCCTGCTGTATACCACCTAGGTCATGGTGAGTCTTTCAAAAGCATTTCCATGAGCCTTTGGGAAACATGCAGATTAATTTGCATGTTTCCCAGTGTCTCATTGGGATGCTTTTGAAAGATTCACCATGACCTAGGTGGTATACAGCAGGACTGGGCTGGCAGAAAGGAGGATGAATAGAAAAGTGGTGAAGATACCACTCTTGAGTTTTGAGTGCCCTTCTAAGCTTTCTTGCCCTCTGAGCTGTTTTTTTTCCTAAGAACTGATGCATTTGCTGCCTTATCCTTTGAAAGGAAGAGCTAGAAACAGGTTTGGAGCCTCCCCCTTTAAAGACAGGCATTCAGATTAATTCAATTAACTGTAATTTAACTGCCGCCTTAAAAATTTAAATGCTCCCCTGAACAACAACAAAAAATCCTGGCCATGGGTCTGATTGCAGCCTACAACATGTGAAAATCATCTACATTTC